AGTGGGAGGCTGCATAGCTGGGATGCTAAAGACCCTCTCTCTGGAATTCCATTATGGTTTTGTAAACTGCCCTGTTTAAGAAGAAACTGTAGTGCCGTTTCATTTGTATTTTGATAATAAAAAAAAAAAAAAGCTTGTCTGAGGATCAGAAAGACTGGCCAGCCTTACAGACAAGGTCACAATCACACACACCTTTAATCCTAGTAACCACACTAGTTGCCAAAGAAACCAGGTGATAGTTGTTCATGCTCTTAATCTCAGAGCTAGGGAAGATTATAAAGCAGGAGGAAACAGGTCTCACTCACTGTCTCATTCTAAAGGCAGGATTGCCATTTTAGACTCAGGTAGACGTAAGAGCCAGTGGCTGGCTATTTTGCTTTTCTGACCTGCATACTGAATGCTAATTTCTTTCTCTGAGTTTTTATTAATCATCCTTTATTTGGTGCCTAATTTGGGGGCATGAATTTACAAAAGAGCCATCCAATTTAGGCTTTCAAGGCACCAGCCCGGGCCAGAGTAGGGATTGGAATTCCAGCGCTAAGAATTGGAACTTAGATTCAGAGTTCTTTTTTGGGGGGAAAAAAGGTAATTATAAAGTGGTTGGCCTATTAGCTCAGGCTTTTATTAACTAGCTCCTATAACTTAAATTAACCCAAAATTCTTACCTATGTTTAAGCTCGTGGTTTGGTAACTTACTCAGTGAGACATTTTCGTCTTGCTTTTTGGTTGGTGACTGCAGACTGAGCCTGCCCTCTTCAGAAATCCTCCTGGTCCAGTCACCCTGCCTATACTTACTGCCTGACTACTGGCAAATTAGCATTTTGTTAAACCAATACAAGTGAAAAATTTTTACAGAGTACAAGAACATTGTCCCACAGCAAGAAAATTTTGAAGGGCATCTCGTAGTCAGTAAGCAATGAATGATTGATCACGTTTATTTCATTTTATGAGCATGAATTTACATTAAACAATAAGTATAATGCAGAGCCTTGAGTTTTATAGGAAGACAGCAAAGCAATGTAGAGCCCTACAGAAATAAAATCTCAGACAGAGTATATAGCTAGTTAAAGTCTTTATTCCAGCCAGTTGCAACCATGTTCAGATAATCACGACCCGGATGTAGACCCAAGTATTTAGAAAAAGGGGCTTTTAAAGGCAAAATTCACATTCTGGTATGTTGCTTAGCAGATAGAGATGTTTTTGAACAATCAAGCAATTTAGCAGAAACTAAGACAAGCAAATAACTGAAGGGGGAGGTTTGTACAAGCAGGTGGTTCAATAGAGCTAAATAGGTAGCAGGGACATCTTGACCTTGGGTTCCTAGAGTAGAGTTGGGTAGTTTTCCACCAGATTCTTCATGAGAATGACAGAAATTGCTTCAACAAGAATGCAAGATGGAGAATGAACAAATACAAGGTGCACTTCAAAAAAAGAAGTTAGAGTGAAGTGCAGAAACTCTGCTCTTTTCCTTTCTAGTATGGAGCAGGCAGGTGCACATAAAATAGACTCTCCTGAATTCATAATGCTGTTGACACAGAAACACAACTCTCACCACAAACGGGACAAGAGATAGTTTGTTTTGGAACCAAATATGAATGACCATGACTGAAAAAAACAGGTTTACTTAAATCGTGTATTCCAACAACAAAGCAATTTCATTAAGAACTTATAACAGAACAAAGAAAGTCGCAAGTCAAAACATTTTGCAATACATTGATGGAAACATCAGAGAGGTTGGCTTACAGCAAAACAGAGAGAAGCGCTGCTGCACGCCTTAGATGTTGCCTGACAGCATTCTTTGTCCCTTCACTGGTGGGCAGTAGGGTTTTGCTAACCTAAAGCTTTCATAAGGTTTTTTTACCTATCAATCACAGGATGTTAGGTCCAATAAATAAATGGAAATGAAATGAGCATTTTGAAGGCTAAAGATGACCTTCAGTAAATTTTAATTAGCCTCTGGAACGTTCCTAACTCTCCAAAATCATAAAAGTTCAAATCCCCTAATCAGCCTTGCTGAAGGTTACAGATTGGAAGTATAGCTTGCTTGGGGGGTGCAGGTGAAAGTCAGGGAGATGGGGTAAGGAAGTTTCCGGAGTTTCAGGAAAGTTCCGCTCTGCAGTTTTTCTGAGACCATCTAGGGGTGCAGAGTTGCAGTAGGCTCTGAGCAAATGGAACTTCACTGATCATTGTTGGGGAAGCAGAGTTGAATATTTCTGGGTCAAACTGTGATTATCCCACCATATCCCAACCCTGAGGGAATATATAATTGGACTTAAGAATGTTAAAGGTAGGGGATTTTGTAGGCTGGTCTTCATTTCTGGATAGGTTTTTCTGTGTAGGGAGTGAGTGCTTCATTGGGGCAATGAAAGAGTTCAGGGGTGGAGCCTTTGAGGTGATCCATAAATTGGTCACTGTGTTAGATAGTAGTTTGATATCGTTCTGGCCTGAAGAACTCTTTGACTCTCTGGGTGATGAAAGCCTATAATCTTTGTTGGGAGAACTTGGTGAAGAAACTGAGAAGGTAGGATCAAATACTGAAATTATGAATATCATAGCTGTTGGGTCCCTGGTTGATCCAAGTATCTAGAAAGATTTTTTTTTTCAAGTCATATCTAATTCTCTTAAATTTTTGGAGTACTGTAGCAACCAAAGAATAGAATTGATCCTGAAAGATATTAACTGAACTAAAACTTTTTTAAAGTTTTCTAAGAGCTGCTGCACCAGAGAGATTAACTAACACTCAGGAGGCTTCAGTTTCAGGGCAGCTGTTTCAGTCCTGAATTCTAAGTATTGAACTAATACCCAGATAGGCAAGACTAGTAGGTGAGTTGGATAGTCCATTAGTTTCCTTTTCTGAAGATATCAGATATGCTTTTAGAGGTTTTGGGGCATAGATCTCTCATAACTGCTTTGAGTTGACAAAAGGGGCCATGTAGAAAGAGCAACAATTAGAGTACCTCAGAGAGGGCCAATAATAAAGCAGTTAATGACATTAACACCCAGCAGAGTCTACTACTGTGGCTCTTCACTGGCAGTGGCATGTCCCTATCAGGATCTGTGAATGTTTATTTCTTGGGCTGTTTTGTTCTCCTTTTCCCTGTCACAGAGTCAGGGGGTGAGCCTGACCCAGGATAGACATTCGGAAGACACTCTAATAAAACACATGCTTGAGTTTGAAGTAGGAGGGCTAAATCCCACATTCCAGAGCCAGTTTCTCAGTTTAATCAGAACATGACAATTTGACAATAGTGACTGCTCTACTTTATAGGAAGGGGCTCATTAGCCAGATGAGCATCTGAGAAAGGTTAGGGAATTATGTTTAGAAGTTTAAGCTGGTAAAAGTGCAGAAATTGAGAAATAGAGCAAAGGGCCAGAATGAAGACAAAAAGACATCTTCTGTCATTCTGGAATGTGAAGTGGCTTGAGCCAGTGTGACTCTCTGAAAGTCAAAAATGTTATCCATGTTGCAGTGAGTACAGACCTCAGCAGACAGGTATACAAACACCTTGAGGTTTGTTTTCAGGCGAGCTAAAGTGTATGAGAAGAAAGGTGATCTTGTACTCAACTTTGAGCAGGTTAAATTTGAGGCTTCTTTCTGGTAATAAGTGACTGTAAATGAGAAACTAGGGATTGGAATGGGCATTCCCAATTCTAGTCACCTCTTAGCAAAACCAAAGGCAGGGAGCTTGAAGAATCCCTGGAATTCACAATTCTAGTGACCTGGAAGGCAAAGCTGAAAGACCACATAGGCTTAGATGATGGTATCTGCACAGAGCACCCCTAGACTGAGTCTGAGCCTTACTTAGATGTGTGAGTGTTGGTTGTGGCATGGTTGAATGACAAAAAGCTACTCTGTACATCAGAGGGGCTACAAAATTAAATCAGTAGTGAAAAGAAAGAAAAGGAGACACCAAGGTTAGCCCTTGAATCAATAAACTCCCTGAAAGAGGGAAATGTTGCATCATTGAGATTTGCACTGTTCACCTGGGCAGGGGCTAAATAGGTCATCCCACGGGCATTTTAGCTCGTAGTAAGTTTGGAGTGCTGAGAACTTCTCAATGTTAATAATAAAAGGGAGAGACAGGGGAGTGGGGAGAGGGGCGCAGTCAACTGAAGAAGGAACCCCCTGAAATTTCTCACTGTTTTACAAAATGTTAGAATGGAATGGACTGTGGCATCTGGAAAAGAAATGGGAGCACAACTACACCGTGAAAGAAGCCAACTGTCCTTAACAACCACTCTGCTGAATAGAGATCAGGCCGCAAGTACCTTTGGGGCAGGCTTATCTCAGGGAGTTGAAAGTATAAAACTTGCAGGTGTTGACTGTGCATGTTTTTGGTTTTTCTGAGAACATTTAGGGCCTAGGAGTTCCAGTAGTATCCTAGCAAATAGACTTTTCGGGGCCAGGGTTTGGGGAGTGAAGTTGAACATTTCTGGGCCAAACTAAGTTCATCCTGATAGGGTAACTTTTGGTATGGAAGACTCCTTCTGTAACTCTGTTCCCCTGCAGTCTCAGAGTTGAAGATACCAGCTTGGGGTTGGGGAAGTAGCCATTGATCTCCTCAACAGAAACTTCCACAGATGATATCAGTTAAGTCAGCATTCCTGCCCAGAGTGTCTCAGTTAGCCTGAGGTTTTTAATTCATTAACTCTTCAAAAGTCCATTCATGGGTACATTAGAGAAGCAGGTATAGCAAGTTAAGGGAAACTTTTCTTATAGGCCCAATATGCTATCTGATGCCATTCTTAGCTGTTGGATTGGTGAAACCTAGTTGTCTGTTTGTTACTAGATTCTAAAAGCTTTCTATTTTATGTTACTCAAAAAAATCTGTTACAGTAGTGGGCAAGGAATGACTGTTCTTGAAGTCTAGAACTAGCCCCATGTGAGACATTTAGCCTCTGGACATGCAACGTTCCAATCTATCCACCCAGTTTCAGTTTCTTCTCAGGAGTTTTCATTCACACTAACTCTCTCTGTTTTGTTTGTGTTTTCTCCCCAGCACTGGCTAGAACCTAACAAGTCCATCTTCAAGCAAATGAAATGTAAGTGTCAAGCTATGGTTTTACTTCTGCGACAAATTATTCAAAAATAAATTTTGTTTCCTAGCAAAATGAATTGTCTCTGGAGATGAGGACAGACTGAAAGATACATGGGTGGATGGCAGCTCCTTTCTGTTTAAGAGCTGGGAATATCCTCCCCTTTTTCTCTAACCTTGACTTCCCCCTCAGCCATCAGTTCAGTTATCTGCAGTGCCTCTTCTTCTTTCTGCGCTGTTTGCTCTCATATTTCTTGTTGGAACAGGAGCTTTGAAACTGTATGGTTAAATATTCATTAACCACAAATGCTTGCCTCTGCACTACAAGGGTTGATAGTACAGTTTAAGGTGTGGTATATAGTCTCAACTGGAGACAGGAGAAGTGGATTTGTTTGGTAACTGAATTTATAGTGACAGATTTACTGGATAGATGGATTTTTTTTCTCCTCACCCCCCCCCCAAATAAAGTAAAAATCTTTTCTTATCTGGTAATAACTTTAAAAGTCTAGTGTTCTCCCTAGAATTCCTCATTATTCACTATAGACACTGTAAGGAGGGAGTTGATTTTTCCAGTGACACGATTCTTTATCTGAATCAGCTCTTCCAGAATATGTCCAAAGTGCTTTTTCATATTATTTCATTAAGAATATCTAAGAACATCTAACAGATACCCCAAATCCCATTGCCTTCTCTTGAAATAGCCACCACCCTATGCTGGCTATTTTCCTCTCTCTCTCTCTCTCTCTCTCTCTCTCTCTTTCTCTTCTGCCTCATCTGCTTAATACAAGCTAGGATTATCGTGAAAAGGGGAACTGAAATTGGGGAAAATATTGATTATCATATTGGGCTATGCGAAAATCTGTGGGATATTTTCTTGATGAATGATTGATGAGAGAGAACCCAGCCTACCACATAGGGCACCACCCTTGGCAGGTGGTCCTTAGTTGTATAAGAAAGTAAACCAAACAAGCTATAAAGACCAAACAAATAAATAGGTACCTCCATGGCTTCTACTTCAGTCCCTGTCTTGAGTTCCTGCCCTGACTTCTCTTCAAGATGAACTATAAACTGTAAGCTAAAATAAACTGTCCTCTCCAAGTTGCTTTTAATCATGGTGTTATTTCAAGGTAATAGAAACATAACTAAACCAAAAACCAGTACAATGATGACAAGATATTCCTTTAAAGACTTTACCATGTTATTTTGAGTGTGACTGCAGAAGTGTTTAGAAATTTGGGCCACTGAGAACTTAATAGACTGCTATAGGAACTTAGAAGATAATGCTGAGAGCAACGAAAATGATGGAAGCCTGGCTTCTGAGGTTTCTGAAAGAAGTTTGTGAGTCCCTCCAAAGACTCTATAATACTATTTGTGTGATATTTTGGATGAAGAATCAGTGGTTCTGCTCAGGTAGAACTGAAAAATCAGTAGTGTTTAAAAAATTAGGATTACTGTTGTGAAATATTTGCTTTACGGGGACACTAGAAACTAGTTAGATGGGACTGAGAAATTAGCTATGATTAAGAAGAGACAAGAAACATTGAGATAAAACCTAAGTATTTCCTCAGGATCAGCACACAGACTTATGTTTCAGATGGACCCTAGATGGTTGCATCTCATGCTGGCAAGTGAGCTTGGTAATGTGTAAGTCTCCTTTGTTTTACTGGTTTTGATGACTTGGGAGCTGCCTGACTGAAGGGAAATCATGGAGCAGAGCTGAGACTTGGTAGCCAGAGAGACTACTGGTGAAGGTACAGCTGTAGTTGCCACGGAAACTTCAAGAACAAAGAGATCATAGAGAAAGGCTTAGGCATGACACTGAGAGAACAGAAGAGGTCATTGGTAAATGTATAGCTTTATTTGCAATGGAAACACAAGTTAATTTGGTCATGGAAGGGAATGGAGGCTTGGAAGCATGTGGCAGGTCAGAATCTCTGACAGGGAGCCAGGAGGACATTAGCGAAGGTACAGCTTATGGAGACCCCAGAATATTAATGATACCAAACTACCAGATGGCCACTAAAGGCAGCAGCAGGGGTAGAGTGGAGACAGCCTGATCCTATGAGACAAAGTATGTGTGCCATGAAAGCCAGAGCCAGACAAGCAGAGCTGTTCAATCCTTTTAAAGCCCCAAAGCTTGTGTAAAACTGCTAGATGATTGTTTTGCTCTTATTTGATGGGAATTGTGCTCTGGTTCTTCCTGATTAAAACACAAAGTATATAATTCATTTTTTTTTATTTTGTAGGATACCACAATTGGGACACTAGAATTTTAAATAAAGAATAGTTTAGAGACTAGAATTTTAAAGTATTTGAATCTATTATTATTATTATTATTATCATTATTTAATTAAAATTTTTCATACCAATCACAATTCCCACATCCTCCCCTCCCCCTTCTCCCTCCACTTTTTCTTCACCACAGCCCCCATTCACTCCTTAGACAGAGGGTAAAGCTTCCCATGGGGAGGCAAAAAAGTCTAGCACATTGCTTTGAGGCAGGATCAAGGCCATATATCTATATCTAGGTTGAGCAAGGTATCCCTCCAAAAAGAATGGGCTCCAAAAAAACTGTTCAAGTAGTAGGGATAAATCTTGGTCCCACTGCCAGTGGGCCCCATAGACTGTCCCAGGCATACAACTGTCACCTGTAGTAATAAGAGCGGCGGGGCTGCGTTCCCAGCACCCCGGCCGCCTGCTTAGCTTATGCCTCAAAATAACAACACACAAACTGTATTCATTTAAACACTGCTTGGCCCTTTAGCTCTAGCCCTTACAGGCTAATTCTCACATCCCGATCAACCCATCTCTAATAATCTTTGAGCACCGGTCTTACCGGGAAAGGTTCAGCATGTCTAACCTGGCGGCTTGCTTCATCGCGTGCATCTGCCCAGGAGAGAGGAGCATGGCATCTCTCTGAGGCGTCTGCTCCCGAGAGGAGAGCTGTGGAGTCTGAGCTCATTTCCTCTTCCTCCCAGCGTTCTGTTCTGTTTACTCCTCCCACCTATCTTCTAACCAATAAAATGGGCCAAGGCAGTTCCTTTATTAGCCAATGACCTTCCTCCATCAGTCACCCACATTCAGAGGGCCTAGTTTGATCCTTTGCTGGATCTCCCACTGTCAGTCCTGAGTAAGTGAGAATTCATTAACTCAGGTAAGCTGTTGCAGTGGGTATTCCCCATCATGGTCTTGACCCCTTTGCTTATATTATCTCTTCTCCCTCTCTTTGACTGGACTTTGGGAGCTCACCCCAGTGCTTCACTGTAAATGTCTACATCTGTTTCTGTCAGTTGCAGATGAAGGTTCTATGATGACACTTAAAGTAGTCATCAATTTGATTGTAGGTGAAGGCCAGTTCATGTACCTTCTCCCCTATTTCTTAAGGTCTTAGCTGGAGTCATCCTTTTGGATTCCTGAGAATTTACCTGGTGCCAGGCATCTTCCTAGCCCCATAATGGCTCCCTCAATCAAGATATCTTTTTCCTTGCTCTTGCTCTCTTCCCTTCCTTATCTTGACCATCCCATTCCCTCATGTTTTCCTCTCCCTCTCATTTCCCTTTCTCATCCCCTCTGCCCTCCCTTCTCCCCCAACTCCCATACTCCCAATTTTCTCAGGAGATCTTGTCTATTTCCTCTTCCCAGGGGGATCCATGTGTTTCTCTTAGGGTTCTCCTTGTTACCTAACTTCTCCTGGGTCATGGAGTATAGGCTGGCCATTCTTTACTTTACATCTAATATACACTTATGGGTAAGTACATACCATGTTCATCTTTCTGGGTCTGAATTACATCACTGAGGATTTTTTTTTCTAATCCCATCTAATTGCATACAAATTTCAAGACGTCATTGTCTTTTTTTTTTCTTTTTACTACTGAGTAGTTAGTATCAATTATGTAAATGTACCATATTTTCTTTATTCATTCTTTGGTTGAGGGGCATCTAGGTTGTTTCCAAGTTTTGGTTATTACAAATAATGCTGCTATGAACATAATTGAACAAATGTTCTTATCGTATGATTGAACATCCTTTGGATATATGACCAAGAGTCTTGGGTAGGTCAATTCCCAATTATCTGAGAAACCACCAGCAATGAAGGAGTATTCCTCTTACTTGGCATCCTCTCCAGCATGAGCTATCATTGGTGTTTTTGATCTTAGCCATTCTAACTTGTGAGATAATTCTGGATCTCAGAACCCATTGGATTTGCATTTCCCTGGAGACTAAGGATGTTGAGCATGTTAAGATCTTTTGGCCATTTGAGATTCTTCTGTTGAGAATTCTTTGTTTAGATCTGTACCCCATTTTTAATTAGATTATTTGGTATTTTGATGTCTACTTTCTTGAGTTCCTTATATATTTTGTATATCAGTCCTGTTCCAGGTGGTGAAAATCTTTTCCCATTTAGTAGGCTGTTGTTTTGTCTTACTGAGTGTGTCCTTTGCCTTCCAAAAGCCTCTCAGATTCAGAAGGTCCCATTTACTTATTGTTGCTCGCAGTGTCTGTTCTACTGATGCTATATTTAGGAAATGGTCTCCTGTGCCCATGCATTCAAGGCTGTTTACCACTTTCACTTCTGTGAGGTTCAGTGTGGCTAGATTTATATTGAGGTCTTTGATCCAATTGGACTTGTGTTTTGTGCATGGGGATAGATATGGATCTATCTGCAGTCTTCTACCCAAACCACACAAACACTCAACTAAGAAAAAGAATTACAAAGCAATCTCCCTCATGAACATCTGATGCAAGAATACGCAGTAAAATACTGGCAATCCAAATTCCAGAACACATCAAAATATCATATACCATGGTAAAGTTGGCTTTATCCCGGAGATGCATAGATGGTTCAACATACAAAAATCTACCTGTGTAGTCCACCATATAAATAAACTGGGAAAAAAATATGATGATCTCATTACATGCTGAAAAAGTACTCAGCAGAATTCAATACCCCTTCATGATAAAGGTCTTGGAGAGATCAGGGATACAGGAACTTATCTAAACATAATA